CCCAACCGAGCTCTCATTGGTGACGACGAGCACTGCTGGTCCGACAACGGTGTCTTCAACATCGAGGGAGGTTGCTACGCCAAGACCATTGGCCTGTCCGCCGAGAAGGAGCCTGATATCTTTGGCGCTATCCGATACGGTTCCGTCCTCGAGAACGTCGTCTTCGACCCTCTCACCCGTGAGGTCGACTACGACGATGCCACCCTCACTGAGAACACCCGATGTGCCTACCCCATCGAGTACATCTCCAACGCCAAAATTCCTTGCCTGTCTCCCAACTCCCCCTCCAACATCATCCTCCTCACATGCGACGCCCGCGGTGTCCTCCCCCCTATCTCCAAGCTCGACCGCAACCAGACCATGTTCCACTTCATCTCTGGTTACACCTCCAAGATGGCCGGTACTGAGGACGGCGTCACCGAGCCCCAGGCTACCTTCTCCAGCTGCTTCGCCCAGCCCTTCCTTGCTCTGCACCCCATGAAGTACGCCAAGATGCTTGCCGACAAGATTGAGACTCACAAGGCCAACGCCTGGCTCCTCAACACCGGTTGGGTCGGTGCCGGTTTTGCTCAGGGCGGCAAGCGATGCCCCCTCAAGTACACTCGTGCCATTCTCGATGCCATCCACTCTGGTGAACTTGCCAACGTCGAGTATGAGAACTATGAGGTCTTCAACCTCCAGGTTCCCAAGACCTGCCCTAACGTCCCCTCGGAGCTTCTCAACCCCTCCAAGGCCTGGACCGCTGGCGAGGATAGCTTCAAGAACGAGGTTGTCAAGCTGGGCAAGCTCTTCCGCGAGAACTTCACCAAGTACGAGAGCGAGGCCACCGAGGACGTTGTCAAGGCTGGTCCCGTTGTCTAAGAAGAGGAAGAATGAGAGAAAAAAAGAAGAAGAGGGAAGGCGATTTTTTTTGCGATTGGTCATGACAAATTCGAGCAACTGTTTATCATCTGGGACCGGCGTCATTACATGGCGGCCATCAACCGGCTGCCCTCATCTTTTTTAGTCCAAGGATTTCTTATATAGCACGAGATTGTGTGTGTAATGTGAGCATGAGCAAGGCTTTACGATTTCTGCAATAGAAAAGCATTTACCATTGATTTCTGACGTCCCTTGTATGTGTGGCGCGGCGACTTCAGAGAAGCTGAAGGATACTTATATTCCCCGCTGCTTAAAGTGAAGGCCAAACACAACACATTTTAACGTACGCAAAGGCATAGATAAAGCATCAAAGGTACCATTCAGCGAAATTCTGTGCATCTATCTACCTAGGAGATCTCCTAGAACAATCAGATCCGTCGAAACATCCTTTCAACAATGCTTTCTTTGGCGCCCCCTAGCAACTGCAAGCTGTGCTCATCATGTTCCAAAATTGCATGTCCGACGAAGTCGATAAAATCTTCCTTCGTAGCTTGACGACTTATCCGCTCAGGAGCTCAAATTTACCAAGCGGCAACGGGAGAAGCAGTGTCAGCGCCCCAAGCATCTCCAGCACCAGCCTTACCGCCGTCGTCCGCACCCCAAGCATCCCCTCCGCCAGTGTTGCCGTCATCACCACCAGCTCCCCAAGCATCCCCGCCAGCGGCATCGCCAGCATTGTTGCCAGCATCCTCTCCCCAGGCGCCGCCAGCGTCACCGGCCCCAGCGTAATCGTTGGGGTCGAAGTCAGAATCTGCCTCAAACTTCAGATTGTTGCGAGCTTCGCCCTCGGGAACATACTGCTGGAGGAAGTCAGGGATCTCCTGATTAGTCTCCAGGAGTGTTCGGGTGAGAACACTGGCCATGGGCTCATCACGCTCTGAAAGAAAAGACGTGGCCACACCGCGATGGCCGATGCGACCAGTTCGGCCTAGTCATGTTAGTGAGGGAGTTCTAGATAGAAGAGGATCATCTTACCAATCCGATGAGTGTACTCCTCGATGCCGCCGTAGTCGATGGATGGCATGTCGTAGTTGATGACATGCAGGACATTCTGCACGTCAATGCCACGGGCAGTCACTCCGGTAGCAATGAGAATGGGCGCGTTTCCAGAGCGGAAAGCCCGCATCGCGGCCTCTCGCTCCTGCTGGGTCCGATCACTGTGCATCGATGTGACCGGCAAATGCATGTTGAACAGAAAGTCGTCCAGGTTGTCAGCAGCCTGGCGACTGTTCACGAAAATGATGGTACGAATGCCATGCATTTCCTCAAGTAGCTTGACTAGAAGCTCCTTCTTTTGGGGGGCTTCGGCCTGCAGCACAATTTGCTTGATGTTGGAAGTTGTGCTTCCGGCACGGCCAACACGGAACCGAACATGAGAAGCCGCGAGATAGTTTTTGGCGAGGTCACGAGCGGCCTTGGGGAACGTGGCAGAGAAAAGGCTAAACTTGACGTTGCCCTCATCAAGTTCTGTTGCATGATTAGTTTCTGATCATCTGCGTATGCATATGGTTCTGCTTACCACCACCAGACAAGATTGGATTAAGCTCCTCGGCCCAGTCGTCATTCAGGAGTTCGTCGGCCTCATCAATCACCATGTAACGCAGGCGTCGCAGGGTCAAGACTCTAGGGCGTTGAATAAAGTCCACCAGGCGCCCGGGTGTTCCGATCAGGACATCGCATCCTTTCTGCAGAAGACAGGTCTGCTCCTTTACAGGAACACCCCCATAAACGACACCGGGACGTAGCATGGTACGGTAACAAAGCTTACGAGCTTCGTTGAAAATTTGGACCGCCAGTTCACGAGTGGGAACCACAATGAGCACAAGCGGCTCAGCAGTGACTTCATCAAGCCCCTCGCGGAAGGTCAAGGGGTTGGGACGAAACGCAGCAAGCTTCTTGGCCTTGCCCATGAGTTTGCTTAGAATGGGGATAAGGTACGCAGCAGTTTTGCCGGATCCTAAATGCAAATTAGTTATGCCGGTAAGCACCTCAGGGGCCACGCATACCTGTTTGCGCGATACCAATGACATCGTGTCCCATCAGGATAGAGGGAATAGTGAACTTTTGGATGGGTGTCGGGTTCTCATAGCCACAAAGCTCGATGTTCTCGAGCATGGCGGGATGGACACCAGCATCCTTGAAGGAGCCGATGGGGTCGATTTTGGTCGGACCCTCCTGCTGAACCTCAATGCTTTCAATTCTATGACAAGGTTAGATGGCAGGCAAGCTAGCATCACGTATCAACTTACTGAGAGAAGTCGAGTCCAACTCGGTCGTGGCGAGTAGTGGGATCTCCAAACAATTCGAGCTCGAGCTCGGGATACTTGGGACCGACATCACCGTACTCATCCTGCCAGGCATAGGCACGAGCGTTGCAACCCCACTGCTGATCACCGCCACCGGCAGTCATGGAGGAATAATCGATGGCCTGGGGCTCAGTCCATTTTCCCTGAGACGCATCGTAACCCTGAGTGCCAGGAGTTACGGATTGGTCATTCTGATCGGCGCTAGGGAGTGCTTCGCTCATGGCAGCGTTACCGAAAGTGTCCGCCATGGTGGTGTTTCTGTGAATGTATAGTTAGATGGATGTTTCAAAGATAATGGAACCTGCGGAATGGAGAATGAGAAATTGAACGACTGACTTCGGAGTTGGAAAGTCTCGAAACGAGAGAGGCTGGGTTCAGATAGGCAGGCCGAAACCAAATATAAACAACGTGCTTCAAGAAGGAAGGTCAGCCAAGTTCCAACTCGAGTTGAGGAATCGCGCGCAACGTGAGAAGCAGACAAGAAAATGCTGAAAGGTAAAATAGGCGTGAGGAGAAGAGAAGAGATAGCCCAAAACACGACAGGAGAGGGAGATGAAGAGGTAACAAGAGAAACATACCAGGTAACAACTTCGTGACAAAACAACAGAGACTGCAACTCTTTGCAGCTCTCTTGATGTTATAGTCGAAGAAGAAAAAGAGAGATATGACTCTTCTCAGGCGAGGGTGAGATGAGCAGCAGACCGAAAGTGAAGTCGAAATGCAGATGTGAAGAAGGAAGGTGGAGAAGGAAAAGAAGAGAAGAGGAGAGAGGTTGAGGAGTGGCTATTTGTACTTCTTTCTGCACCGACTGTGCGCGCTGTGAATCACGGGCTCCTCAGTAACCTAAGGCATCAGATGGAAGTGCCTGTAGCTTCTCTTCTTGTTTATCGTTCGAGGCAGGTGCCCGTGTCAGAGGGTAGCAGCTTGCCGGCCGGCTGCCACTGCCGTTGCCAATTTACCTTACTTCCTGCAAACTGAGGAACATAACGAATGGTACCTAATAAGATTGGAGGCTCAAGCTTTTAGAAGTAGAAATTGTTTCCGGTAAGCAAATACATAGAAGGGCCATTCTGTGAGTGTTCACTCTTGCTATTTCACGGTTTGGGGTTGGTTCAAATCTATAAAGCTCTGGTGTCAAGTTGTAGATTGACGTTTGACGAATTGAGGAACAATACTGATACCTAACTTTTCACGTTCACCTGATATATTGCTAGTGAAATCAATGGCCTTCATTTTGTTTTGGTGAATGTGACCTTACTTCTGCGTCTCTGCCATGAAATGCTTACAACATGGAAGTTATGCTTGTGCCATGAATACGTTGCTGTTCAGATAACAGCATTGCGACACAAGGAAGCGCTGGCATGTTGTATGCTTTAGGTTTTTAGGAAACTGCAGTGATACAGGACCAGAGAATAATAATTTTATCTCTATAAGATTATCACGTCTCCAAAGTTGGAGGAACTTGATGGGTTTGTTCTGAACACTCAAACACCAAATATTACGCAATCAGCATACTGTACTACTAAGATACCTCAGGGATGTAGTGACCCGTTTTGATAGATACCTTATTCTTTGATTGGCCCAGACGTGTTCAGACAAACAAGAAATCCGGATCTTGGTACTGTCACAAGTTACACAGCTCAATATAGACAAGTCTTGCTTGGGGTGATCACACAAAGTTATTACTCACAACTACTCTTAGCTCAGACAGTGTGGGCGACTATTTGCACGTAAGAAAACGGTTAATTTTATTATGAGATCAGCTTGAACCCTTCACCAGAGGCTCAGGAGATCCTGGGTATCCATTGCCGTCGAACTTTCATATTCGCCCATTCCATCTTGAAGAACTTTGTCGAGGCCAGCCGCCGCTCGACCAGTAGCACCACCCTCTTTTTTTGCTTGATCTGTACCCTTCAGCACTGCCTCCAAAAACCTTCGCTCAAATACTCGTTGTCTGGAATCCCGACTGGGATACATTTCCCCCTCTTCGTCTCGCCGAGTACCATAAAGATTGAGATATTCGAATGCATTCGAGTCTTGTGGGATTCGATATAAGTTGTCCCATATCTCTGACTCGTCCTCGGGAATCTCAGCTTCAGGCCGAAGACCAGCCCCCAAGAACCGTGATAACATGGCGATTTGTCGGGCATATGTGGAAGCATCTTTAGCCCGCAGACCAGATCTTGAGCCAGAAGACCATCCGGCTTTTGGGGTTGTTAATGCCCACCCCATCATGGCACAGAAACTGTTTAGGGTCTTTACCCAACCTCCAGGACATACGATCAAGTCGTTCTCTGCAACATCCAAAATCCATTCCATTACACCAAGAGAGTCGTTGCTGATGTCCGCCGAGAGGTGTGTCATACCCGCCCGGATAAACATGATGGCTTGCTCCACACTGTGTCTGACCTCTTCTGCGGGTAGCTCTCTGAAAAGCTTGAGAAGTTGGCTTCGAACTGGCGTCGAGCTATCTGAGATGAGTGGAAGCAGCTTGGCGAGAACCGCATGTGTTCCCACTGGATTGATAGGGGGTTCTGCTGAAAGCTGTGAGGTAAGATAGGCCAATGCTTCTCGTCTTTGTTTGTCTGACTTTGAAGAAGAGGCAAGTGAGAGATTATGTTTGAATTGTTGAACGACATCAGGTGCGACTGTTGAGAGTGACTGATGCCCCATCACAATAGCTAGGACCCATCAGCAAATTGAAGACGAACATACGCAAATCTCCTCACCCTTTGACTTGAAACTTGTATCTGTGAAATTGGACGCTTTTGGCTTATCCTTCCCCACCTTGAACTTCGGTTTCTACATCTTGTTGGTGAGTTGCACTTCAACATTTCAGAGGTAGTGATTGAAAGCATACCTGGAAGTCCTTTTGCTTCTCGCGCTTCTTCTTGTTGCTGGAACCCATGATGTCGGTTTGTCGAGACCACTATGACAGATGTATAGAAATACAGCACAATGTCAGGTCAACCACAGGATAATCTTTGTTATACGGAGTACTGAGGTTTAGATTCTTTGATCTTCAACTGATAAGATCTACTTTCCCTGTTGGGATTCTAAAATTTTGGCGGTGTCGGGTGGCAGAACCTCCGTCGTGCCCCGCGGCGTCACCTTAACGCGAGGTCCGACCACGCTAGATCAACACATCGCGGCAACCAGCGGTATCAAACGTCGCCATATTCAGCTATCATAACAGAATGACTGAATCTGCATTGGTATGCTGCGAAAAGAGTCTTGAAATATCGCGCGAAGCTAATAAACGGACAGTCTAATGGCCATGATGCCCTTGAGGAGAAGCTCGGCCGATTGTCAAAGAAACCTGGTGTTAAAGCCAGCATCATTCTTGACCGAACCACCGGCGCTATCCTGAAAACTAGCGGGCAAATCGACGCTCTCCAGACCTCTAAGACGCGAACCACATCTACTGCAACATCGTTTTCCAATGAAGGTCCTGCACTAGAGGAGAGCGAAACGAAAGGAGTCGAGCAATTCGCCGCGAACGTCTGGAACTATGTGAATAGCTCCGGAAGCTTGGTTCAGGAGCTGGATGGCGAAGTGAGGATCACCACAGGCGTCACAGGCTCACTGCTAACAATCAGTAGGATGAGCTGAAGCTTCTCCGCTTACGAACAAGGAAGCAAGAATTGGTCATTGTACCCGATCCCAAGTATTTACTCGTGGTTGTGCATGACACGCCTCCAGCTTGAGCTACGAAACACGCTTATCTAAGTCTTACCAATGTCTGGGCGTCCCAGATCTCCCACTTACCGACTTCCGCTGAAGGGCTAGGGAGCGGTTTGCCTTGATTCGAGAAAGATGTTCTGTTTCATCGACTGATCAACTGGGAGTGCGACGGGCCGTGGAATCGACAAGATGCAGGGGATTATTACTGGTGTGTTGCATTCGGGATGGTCTTGAGTAAGGCAAGACATCTTGAACGAATTACGATTGAAACACATGGGCTGGAGGAAGCGCAGGCATCTCTGCCATGCCGCGAAGGGAAGAAAGAACAAGAGAAGCATATCAACATGGGGTTAAAGGGCTGGAGTCTGCGCCCTCGCGGCTATCCCGTTACCCGATTTCCTTTTACTGTGCTTCCCGTCACTACGGGACTATCACGGGGTCCGCGCGCTGCCCAATGTCCGGCATAGACAATTGGGATGGGAAAGGCAAATAAATCCGCCGCTGTAGGTAGCCGCGTGTTTCGAAGGTTTAATGGGTCGAACAATTACAGCTGGATTGCGCCCCTTGTTTCATAAAGGGCCCCATTGACGACGAAAATGGTGGTGGCCGGAGTGGAAACGCTAGGAGCCGTTGGAAAAGCGCACGGAAAGGCCTCATGGTGGCCATGACAATTGAGGATCACACATAGATATCGGCTACCAACACAATTGAGCAGCATTTCCGATCCAAACTTGTAACGGACAAAGTTGCGAATGTGAGCTTCTTCTGCTTGGTCAGTACCGAACAAGGTTCATACGGGTCAGCGCAGGAAAGACGGAACGCACGTACAAAATACATACAAACGCGCGCACGTCCTTATCCTTGGCCAGTATCCGTATGCGGATAACGAAAACGCTCAACAACCAGGGTTACATACATAAGTACTCTGACTTGGAAGAAGGTTGTAAGAACTGCAGGGCTGATACATGGTCAAAGGCAAACACGTCAAGTATCGATCATATGTCTGATCCCAAAAAGTCCGAGGTCTCAGATTATCAGAACTAATGTTGCTGACCGAGCGCGATACATGTCGATCTAAGGTTCCGATATGATTTGTACTATTTTCGGCAAGATGACATTCCGAAACTAACAAGGGATTTTCAACTTGACCGTTTGTTCACCTTGGAAGGCTTATTTACACCTTGTCTTGTCTTGTGACTTTCGCTTTTACGATTCCAGGTCTTTGCCGAAGCGGCGAATTCTCCCTGGTTCGCTTCTCGCAACGGCGGTTTCGAAACACGTCGTCTTACCCCCTCCACTTTTATACATTGGCTTCCGCTAGAGAGGCCCACAAACTCCCGCAACTTCCAGCATCAGGATTCTCGAGCTTGAGGCTAAAACGGCCTCCCTCCGGATGACAGGAAATGAACCCTGGCGATAACATCGAACAGTAGCTGTTCATATACACACCTGCCTTGTTACATAATGAGCTCTATAGTCGGGTCTTGACGCACATCACAAGGGCTGAGCATAACTTTTCTTAGCATGTTTCCCATGTAACACACACTAGTGAGTTTAATTTGATGTTTGCCAACATTCGTACGGCAGACAAACTCTGGCATGATTGATAGATTGCGTCCAGCTTCTCTTGCAAGGATCAATGCTTGCCCACGTATGCTGGGGGCCTTTGAAACCTCTGTTCTAACCATTGGGTATTCCGCACTCCGCTGCTCTGTAAGACTGGAGCGTGCAGTATGTACTCTACTGTACCATACAGTATGTATATAGACCGGGTCCTGGGTGTTATGCCGGCTCCCATATTGGATTCGGACCTGTATCTACTCACATCGATTCGAATCGCAGATCTTCCGTTTTACCCATATTACCCAGGCTTGGTACAGACAGCAATCCACGATCGTCCAGGTTGGTTCAAGGCCCACGCTCCCAAGGCCTCCTGGATATCCACGCGTGGGGACAGCTGTATGTTGCACGAACAAGAAAAGAAGCGGACACAAGAGAGACTCGGGAGAGAGGGGATTATATCTGCTGCGCGGGATTGTGCACCAATGACCTGAGACAGCCGTTGAACTCCTGGAAAGGGAAAGCATTGTGTGCTTAGCATATTCATACGTACGTACGTGGATCAACCAACAAAGGCCTATATTTGTATAGCAATACGGGTGCAATGACAGCAATGGATCCATTCTGTTCTCCGCCGAGTCATCTTTTTGAATCTCGAGTCCCCTTTCGTATTCCAATACAAATGCCTGGGGAGTTGTTGAAAGCTGGATGTTCTGGTGCCAGTTCAGACCGCAGACCAACAACCCACGCAACTCAGACAAAGGAGCACCTAACTGACTGACGGAGGCAGTAGTGAGGGATACCCATCAATCCAACAAGAAGCTGTTGCTTCATACCCTGTCTCCTTTATCAGGAGTGGGCTTGATGGTGCTTGTATCCAGGCCGACCTGCCCACGATCAAAGAGATCAATCTGATCCCTCGGCGGCGGATGCCCGCATTGCGTCGATACTAACGTGGTTCGCACTTACATGGAAGACCTGCGATCCATCGCAACAAGATCGCAGTATGCCATTGAGCAAACCAAGGCCGTCTCCACGGTCAACTGCCACGAACAGTTTCAGCGACACCGCCGACAAAACAGGGACAAAATTGACTGATGAGAATAAGGATGCGCCGTCGCAAAAGCGACATGAACGGCAAAAGTCCCGGGCACTACTACTACCCCAGAGCCTGAACGGCGCCACATCTACTGCCACCACCAGCACAATACCGGCCAAATCTCCAATTGCTGATAGATATGCCCAAAACGAAAACGACGAGAACGAACCCATTGACGATTCTGGGGTCATTGGTGCACCTGCACCAACCGGGGGTCGTTTTACAAGGCCAGACTATCTACTCCATGATTTACTTACACGAGCCAAGAACCGTGTAAGAGATCGAACTGGACGAGAGCGAGACAAGGAAAAGGAAAAGGGCAACGGAGATGTAAGTCAAGATTTTGATAAGTCATTTATTTACTGGAATTATTCCTGACGAGACACCCACCCACAATCTCCATTTCCATCATACATAACTGCAAGTCATCCATTCATTCCCTGATCAGTGCGCACTCTGAGAGACAATGGAAGATCAGACCACTGCTCAGCCCAGCCCAGGCCAGCCAACCACTGTCGCGTGCTAGGGCGATCTTCTCTCAGGTCATGCGATTGCCGTTCAGGGCCCTGAATTGGCCCCTCAATGGGCTCAGTTCGGGGGCGCCTTTGACCGATGGTATTATCCGGCCTAGAGATGTCATGATGGTCCAATGTCCGGTCATTCATTTTTTCCCCTTTAAGCACTACCTACTATACTTATATTTTAGTTTCTTGTGACCTTGTCTGATCCCTCAATTGCTACCCTCCACCTCCGTACTGCACTTCGCTATACTTCTGTCTCAGAACTAATTGCTCCCTTCACTGCAAACAGACAACTTCAACTGTTACAAGTCCAACCAAAGCCTTCTCTTCCTCCCCGCATTCTCCTCCGCCACGCGCCGCTCCTCCTGACCGAGGCTTCCGTCGTAAAGCCCCACCTCGAGCTTCTATAGGTAGATCTCAAGGTACTAAGACGTCTTCATCGTCACAGTCGCCGTCACACTCACCACCACGGGCTCTCACTTCCCCGCGTTCACCACCAGACCAGAACAAGCCTCTTCCTCCTCCACCTCCTCTGCCGAACTCGGGTGCCTTGTCCGACAAGGAAAATGCCACTTCTCCTCCGCCCAAGCCCGTCTTGAAGCTGAAGAGAATCATGTCTACTCTTACCGACTCAGAGATCGAGAAGCTCTTCTCTGGAGCCCCCCAGTACTTTGCCCGTAGCGAGGGGCACTGTTCCGGCGCCCCCAATCCCAGCGTCGCATTTCCCTTTGATGAGGCATTGGAGATTCGCGACCTCACTGATCATGTCCAAATTGAAGATAGAGCTTGGAGTGGCCTTACAGCGTGGCCTCATCTAACTCGAGATCTCAATCAGGATGCCGCTGCCCGGGCACAGGCCGTTGACTCTCGCAAGGCCCATTTCTTCATCCGCTGTCGGGAACGTCCCAACATGCTGAGCATGCAAGGTCTCGAGAAGGGTACCATGGGCTTCTCAGCTGCCCTCGAACTCGCCGTTGGCGACGCCCTCGAAGAAGAGCAGTTCGGTTTTGACAGCGTTGGCAAAAAGGCCCATGCCATTGTTGAGGCACGTGAGCGCATGCTTTCCTCTCTGGGCTACCTGCGTCGTCTCCCTGAGACAGAACTGCTGGACCGTCTCAAGCGAAACGCCGAGCTATACCGGGTCAATGATCTGAGGAAGAAAACTTCCGTCCAGACTTATCAGGATCTCTTCCACACTTTTATGCGGCCGTGCAATTCCGTTGTCGATAAGCGCGACCACTATAGCTTGACCAACCAGATTAATGCCTTGATCAAGTGTCTTGGCACCGCCAATGTTTGGTTTGACTTCACCCATGTCGAATGGAGGATCAGATTGGGTCAGATTCTTTGGGGAGGTGAAGACAATGATGAACTTGAGGATACTTCTTCCATCCACGACGCTAGTAGTGCCAGCGAACGGGCCGAGGAGAAGTATTGGCTTCTCTTGCAGATTCTTGTTGCGACCGAACTCCTCATCCGCTTGGATGCCATCACCGAGGGTGAAGAATATGGAGTCGAAGCTTTCCGACCTGTAGATGTTGTTCACTTCGAAAGAGCCGCCACTCCCATGGTGAAGTGGTCGCTTCATCTTGCCAGGAGCTGGCTCGACAATATCGAGATTGAGAAAGTCAAGGAGGATCCACCAAGCAACGCTTCCGAGACAAAGGGAACAGCTACTCCTCCACCTGCGACCGGCTGGCTAGGCGCACTCTTCAGTAAATTTATCGTCCGCCAACATCATGAAGACAAGACGACAGCAAGCCATACCTACACTATTAAAGGTCGCAACCCACAACAACAGGTCGATGGGCTTACTCACTTTGCCAAGAAGCTACTCTGGCCCAACATCGACACATACGAGGGACTCATCGCGAAGAACGCTCGCCAATCGATTATTAATTCCGTGCCGAAGCCTGCTCCTACGGTGGCCTCTGAGAGATCATCAAAGTCTTCTGAGTCGAACGGATCTAAGCGGGGACTTTACTTTGGTGCCTGGGACCGTCCTGGTAGTCAGAAGGACAAGACTCGACCACAGCGAAGAAAGCTTGCAGCGGCACTTCACCCCTCCGGATGGCTTTCGAAATCATATATCTATGGTCTGGTACTCCCTGGAGATGGAATGTGCCATTTCCTGATGGCAACGCTTCTCGAGAACGATAGCAAAGCCATGGAGCGTTTGGGCTCGTTCGCTAATCTGTGTGGGGGGTTTGTATATTCTGGCAAGAGCTTTTGGAGCACGTCATGCATCGTAGGCCGAGTTATTGCAGCAGGTCAGGGATCAGCCGAGTGTATGGGATGGGTTTCCAGCGACATTCTTCCCCTGGGCATAGATGAAGGTTGGGTGAACATTGAAGTAGAAGAAGTGGCTGGTAGGTTGTTTTATATCGTGTGAGAGGAGCATTGAGCTAACAGACAGAAGAGGACAAGGCCCACCTGGGCAAGAAAGCGAGACTTTGGGCAAAGAAGCGAGTTGAACGAGAATCATCCATCCTCGGAGATGCCGATGAATATTCTGTGTTCCCTGCCGACTTTATCATTCCCCACGAGAACAACTACTCTACGCCGCCGCCGTTGATCAGCGTTACTTTGCGATCGCTTGAGCTTCTTTCTCCGGCCAACTCAATTCAGTCCACGCCCTTCACTAAGCTGACACCCGGTGCGAGTGTGAACAACAAGGAACCTGAGTTGTTATCATTCCCAGCCAATGTCAACTTTGCTGTGTCGATTGACGGATTTACGGCCGAGAACTTCTCATTCTCCCTATCCTATGACATTAACTTTGTCACGGCGCACCCCTGCTCGCCTTCTCATCGTGTCCGATTTGTTAAGTCGCCGTCAAGTCCGACAATCCAGCAGATCGATGTGTCCGGGTCAGATACATTTGGGCAAGGTTCTCGGCCTGCTCATAGAACAGGTAAGGTCAAGTGGTTTCTGGTCATTGCCTCACAGCTAACTCTAGTCAGGCCACCCATTACACAAATATTATAATTACACGGTTATTCATATTTCGGAGCTTCTAAAGCGGCAGCATGCTCCCCTGTCGGAGCTTCTGGCTGTTCCTCCAACTCACCGTCGCTCTCCTTCACGCATGGGCAGCGAACGAGTGCTTGTTATTGATTGTATCACCAACTTGTCCGAGGTTCCTCAATCTCCCACGATTGAGAGACTTACCTCAAAGTATAATATTGTTCAGCGAAGAGGTAGTTTCCCTGCTGCGGAACAGATGCATTTCGAGTCCAGAAAACGTCAGTTTGGCTCCGACATGGAGATCCTGGTTCGTGCTCTTTGCGCTCAAAAGGGCTGGAACGCCATCATCAGTCGACGAAAGCGAGGATGTCTGGCTTGTGCTATTCGTGAAGCTGGCGCATTACAGTGGAAGGTCATCATTAGGGTGGAGTAGGAAAAGCTCGCCTACGTTGCAGCGAGCGTATGATTTGGCGTTTATGTCGTGGGAGTATGCTGTGTTGGTGAAATGGGTACAAGGTTAAGTCAAGTCTTTGTCTTTGTTTTGGTTGTCATGATACATGTCTAGTACGCTGGATGACCTGGGAGGATACCCGTTATGTATATATACACGAAAGAGATGTCTGACTTCATTCATTCTAATTTCTGCCTCTGGGTATAGCCGCTGTTGAAGAGCTTCTATAATGTGAATATTTATGTTTTACTGTTAATAAGTGATTCTTTGATCAGGCATAAGAAGCCATTTCCTATTTAGGTAGGTCATCTCTACGCCACGCTACCCCACCCAAGGAAGCGCCACAACCCAACTCAAGCCTCCACCCCGAGACGACAGGTCGCGCGAGCTCATCGGTAATTGCGACAACCATTGAACAACCGTCACTACTCCTCATTCACAGCTGCAAATATGTCGCCTACCAAGGACCCCAGAAGAGCTGACCTGAGTACGATTGCCCTCTAACTCCTAGTATCAGTCAATCGCCTTGCGCACGAAGCACAATTCGATCACCATCATTGCGACTTGAAGCTAACTGCGTGACAGTCGTCCCTTACCAAGAGCCCAAGGGCTCAGGTGACTCGACCGATCTCTCCTCAACGATGTCTACCACCCTGCCAATGGCTGCTATGTTTACGCGCAACAAAATGGTTGGATGGTACGTTTGCCGAACGAGCCTTGAGGATGCGGAGATGTGGCGCGATGCGATGCGAATCGAATCGAAGCGAGATATGATTTGCGGCTGAGTTGCTAACGAGACTTGGTAATAGGGCATCGGTTGTTTTCTCTATCCAGAGTTGGCTCGGCGAGAGCGAGGACTCGAAGAAGAACTCCACCACTCCTGGATACTTCTCCGTTGGCATGTCCAGTAAGACCACCCCTATATCGTTCGAGAATCTCGAGAATATGTGCTAACAGGACGTAGTTATGGCTCTTGCTGTTACTTACCTCCCTATGTTCCTCCCTCCCGTCGGTGGTAAGCAGGCCTCTGGCACCGAGGCCCCTGCTCCTGTCCCTCTGGCATAGTAAGCGAAGAGGGCGGACTGTATTTAACGGGAGAACTTGTGGAAGAAGAAATCACCTTTAATTGTTGCTGAGCGTTATGATTTTCAAGGTTCCAAATTGATCCGTACTCTGGGCGGGAATTGATGGACAGGATATCTGTATTATGAGTTCTTATAAGAATGAACGAGCTTTCAAGTCTGAAGAGTTCTGCGTCCTTTAACCCCCATTCTCACAATGGCTCATTATCTCCTCCTCGGGGAGCAAGAAAATGTCAGACCTCAATAAAGTGTGTCAAAATAAACTCCGAAAAGGTATCCTAGGTCTATAATAAACTCATCTGGACCTTGTGCTGAGTTGCCTAAGTATTTTTGTCACTTAGGATCAAGTTCCATTTCTTTCCTCCATGATGGATGTTGTTGCTGATGACTTCAATGGAAGCTTGAGACCTGGCTTGCATAAAATGCATAAGATTATTTATGAAGTCAGCCCAATGACAGTTGAAGGAAAAAGGGGACCTGCAGTAACTACCGCGGGGCTAAGGTACCTGCTTCACAGTGCTTTACGCGGGCCACGTAGAGAGGGGTTGTGCGCTAGTGACATAAATATCAGACATACCATCCCCCAAAGCTTGGACTATTCAAGACTCATTATTATGACACCCTCAATCCGTTGCTGGGGCAATTCATTATGTCATTTTTGGACGATACCAAAACGATACACTCATGCAAAGTCCCTTGTACTCAACGGCTTCACCAAGCTGCACATACCCTCACGACGACACTCACCGCCCGGCGTATGAATGAAGTACCCCGACGACCTTTCAACCCGGTCGCCTAATAAACATATCAATAAACCAAAGCCCGGTGGTCGTTTTGCATTTAAACCACAAACGACCCTCTCATCAAAACAACAACCTGACTTCTCCAAACTTGCCCCACGCCATACACATACGCATGCGCATGCACATTCCAAGACACGTCTCAGCGATTCTACTGCTCTTCGAGACCTCGGCGCCATGGTCAACGAACGGGCGCCTCCCAAGGTGCCTCTGAACTCCATCATTCCGAATGGAGAAAACACATCTCGCGAGTTGTCTCCCGACGATGATATCACTGCCCTTGTCCGTGGTATGAGCTCGCTCAAAGGCAAAGTTCGGGGAGACATGAGCGACCCCTTCAATCCCGCCGCCGCAACCAACACGCCCACATTCGGTCATCCTACCAAGATGATGTCCTCTCGTAAGCAGAGAGCAGACCCTTTCATACGGCAGAAGACACGACCGGAACACCACCTCGATAGTCGAAGCAGCAACAGCAACAGCAACAGCAACAGCAACAGCAACAGCAACAGCAACAGCAACAGCAACAACGGCGCTAAAATCACAGGCCCTCGAGGCCCGGTTTACCAGGATCGAAGACCACCACCAATGCCCATGTTCAGTTCAGGTGCACCCTCTGCACCACCAGTTGCATCCTCATATGCGCCCGCAAGACATTACGGCGAGGAGACTTTCTACACAGATCCTGCCAAGGCGAGTGCTGATTTGAAGGCTTTGCTCGAGGGTGGCATGGAGGAGGGCGAAGAGGAGGGCGGGGAACAGAGCCAAGCTGATGGCGAAAAGAAATCAGAAGATCCCAAGGATCCCAAAGACGGTACAGTGGATGGCCTCAAGGTCAAGCTACTACCTCACCAGGTCGAAGGAGTTGAGTGGATGCGAGGGCGAGAACTTGGCCCTGTGAAGCGAGGAAAAGTCCCCAAAGGAGGCATCCTCGCCGACGACATGGGTCTTGGAAAGACTCTTCAGACCATTTCACTCATCCTCACCAACCAGAAGCCAGCCAAGGACGCTCCTGGATGGAAGAAGCACTTTGAGAAGATCGAAAAGACAACCTTGGTGGTGGCGCCACTTGCTTTGATTCGACAATGGGAACACGAAATTAATGATAAAGTGGAAAAGACCCATGGTCTCAAAGTCTGCGTACATCATGGACCGAACCGTACGAAGCGATTTAAGGAGCTCGCTCTCTACGATGTTGTCATCACAACTTATCAGATCCTGGTTTCTGAACATGGCAATTCCTCAGATGCCGAGAATGGATTGAAGGCAGGATGCTTTGGCTTGCACTGGTGGCGAGTCGTTCTCGACGAAGCCCATACAGTCAAGAATCGCAATGCAAAGGCAACCAAGGCCTGCTACGCCCTAAACTCCGAATATCGATGGTGTCTATCTGGTACGCCTATGCAGAACAACCTCGACGAGCTCCAGTCCCTCGTCAAATTTCTCCGCATTCGACCCTACGACGATCTCAAGGAGTGGAAAGAGCATATTGATCTACCCCTGAAAAATGGCCGCGGTCACATCGCCATCCGCAGACTGCACAGTCTTCTCCGATGCTTCATGAAGCGAAGAACCAAAGAAATCCTCAAGGAAGCTGGAGCGCTTAACCCTGGTGGTAAGCCTTCCGCCGAGGGCGAGGGGTCCTCAACAGGCTTCAAGGTCACCGAGCGAAAGGTTGTTACTATATCGACTGCATTGTCACCTGCAGAGCGCAAGTTCTACGATCGGTTAGCTGCTCGAGCAGACCGAAGTATCGAGCAGATGATGCAAGGCAAAGTCAACTATGCTAACGCTTTGACTCTGCTACTCCGCCTACGCCAAGCCTGCAATCATCCCAAGCTGGTTGAGGGCAAGCTGGAGAAGGACAAAGACGCAATGTCGACAGACGCTACCCAGAAGACCCAGGATACGGACATTGATGCCATGGCTGACATGTTCGCCGGTATGGGCATCGTTTCCAAAGACTGTAATATTTGCGGGCGAGGCTTGAGTGCCGAAGACAACAAGTCAGGCAAAGACATCTGCTCTGACTGCTACGATGACCTAGCATATTTTAACAACCACGAAAGGCCAGAGCGGTCAGAGCGACCCAAGAAGCCCAAGAAGCCCAAGGATAAGAGCAGGAAGAAGGACAAGAAGAAGGAAACTGTTGACGAAAAAGTCATTGACAGGCAAATTGTCGAGGTTGATGACGATGAAGATGACGACGAGTCTCCTGAGAAGACTTCAGGGCGACCTCGTCACCGAAATACGGTAGTTGACAGTGATGATGAGGACGCAGAGTCCCCAAAGAAGACAGCTCGCCAGCCTCGGAATCGCAACGCCATCGTTGACAGCGATGATGAGGAAGAAGAGGCCGAAGGCTCATGGCTTGTACCCGAGGACCAGCAGGGCTCCATACATTTGGGTAAGGCTGGTGGTGAAGAAGATGAGAATGCTGAGGGCGGAGGCGACTGGATTGGCTCCGATGACTCAGAAGATGAAGAGAGTAAGGTTGAGGACAAGAGCAACCTAAGCAGCTTCATCGAAAACGACGAGAGCAAGGGGGACGTGGCTTCTGACTCTGATGACTCTTTAGCGTCATTGACAGATATCACAAAGCGCATGGCTGCCCAGACGCTGGACGATGGACCGCCTCACGCAGCTGACACCACAAACGCAGGCACAGATGCTGATACTACGGCGGCCGATACCACCGCTGCTGATACAACAGCTGTTTCTGGGTCCTCAGCTTCAGATTCGGGATCTGACTCTGGCTCTGACTCTGACTCTGACGAATCAGATGTCTCGTCTGAAGAAGACGACAGCATTTTCTATCCATCCCGCGATGCCAACTCCCCTCAAGTTCTTGCTTCTTCCAAGATTCGAGAGCTCATCAAGATTCTTCAGGGTGAAGTCAAGGAACACAAGTTCATTGTCTTCTCTCAGTTCACTTCGATGCTTGATCTCGTTGAGCCCTTCTTCCGCAAGGAACGATTCCGCTTTGTCCGTTACGATGGCAGCATGAAGAACGATCAACGCGAAGAAAGTCTGCGAAAGTTAAGGGGCGATCCTCAGACCCGCATCCTGCTGTGTAGTTTGAAGTGCGGTAGTTTAGGACTCAACCTCACGGCAGCGACCCGAGTTGTCATCCTCGAGCCCTTCTGGAACCCAGTATGTTCTCCTATTCTTAATCCCTTGTCATATCACGATGCTAACTTCTTTGCTAGTTCGTCGAAGAACAGGCAATTGATCGTGTCCATCGTCTGACCCAGACAGTCGATGTGATCATTTACAAGCTCACAGTCGCTCAAACTGTCGAGGAACGTATCCTTGAGCTACAGGAGAAGAAGCGCGAACTGGCTGAGCAGGCCATCGAGGGTGGCATGCGTAAGGAGGCTCTCAAGCTCGGTATCAATGAGATCATCAACCTCTTCAAGCCAGGATCTTCGGAGAACCCAGTTGTTATTGGCGCTGATCCCTCCGCTGTCGGCAACGAGAGCTTTAATGGCAACGAGCGTAGAACTGCGGCTTCATCGCAGAGACGGCCTGGGCGGCCTAGAAAGGAAGAGAGTGAAGTGTATGGTCGACGATGGTGAAGTAATTGCTTGTTGTAGATCGACGATGAGATTGGCCATGGTTGGAAAAGGTGTTCAAGAAGGCTCAGGATTTATGACATGGCGCAATGAATTATTATGGTTTTGGCATTAACGATATTGTTTGTTTACTCACATGTCCTGACCAGATAACTGATCGGGCAATATTATCTACTATTTTTAACCAACTGATCTGCTCATAGCTCATGAGAATTATGTTCATCCCGTGCCTTATTGCACTCCAGCTGAGGCATACATGTTATGGCCTGGCACCCAGCATGTAGCTTCAGTCTTTCCATCTCTTCCAATCTCTATGGCTCTCATCTACATGTTTGTGAGAATATTGCCGAGACCCTTGAGCTTTCTCAAGGGAGCTCCATATCCCAGCTCCACAACACCATGTGTGAACTTCCAGCTATCGGGCTGGCTCTTGATAGGGTACTGCACTGGGGGAGGGATACCAGTGCGGATGCCCAGCCAGCCGAAGCGATCCTCGCAAATGGATTTCATGTTGCAGAGTCCGCGTAGACCCTCTTCGCCTGCAAAGCGGCCGTAACCAGAGCCACCAACACCACCAAAGGGCAACTGGACGGCGTAGTAGACGGCGAAGTCATTGACAGCGACCATGCCAGCGCGGAGGCCCTTGACGATGGGCTGCAAGTTGGGATCACGCTCGGAACCGTGAACAGAGGCACCGAGGCCAAAGTTGGGGGCGTTAGCAATGGCGAGGATATCTTCAGGGGATGATGACTTGGCGCGGAGGAGAGTAAGAACAGGAGCAAAGCACTCATTTTGTGCAATACGCATGTCGGGGGTGACGTCGGCGAGGAAAGTTGGCTGGAAATAGTGACCAGTGGGATATTCGGGATGGTTGTAGCGTTTGCCACCAGCAAGGAGACGGGCTCCTTGGGCAACAGCCTCAGCGATGAGTTCCTCAAGGCGGTCAAAGGAAGCATCAGAGATCATGGCACCGACATCGGCCTCAGGGCCCAGACGTAAGGCGTTGACACGAGGAGCAAGCATTTCGACAAGCTTATCATGGATTGCACGAGGGGCAATGACTCTCTCGATACCAATACAGTTCTGGCCAGCGGCTTGGAAGGTTCCACGAAGAATGACTTCGGCGATGCGTTTGAGGTCTCGAGAAGCAGAATCGAGAATAATGAAGGGATCCTTACCACCAAGCTCTGCGACAACAGGAGTAAGGCTCTTGGCCGCGCTAGCAGCAACATGATGGGCGACAGACTGAGAACCGATGAAGGTGATGTGGCTGATGCCAGGATGTGAAGTAAGATGTCCGGCGGTTTGAGGCCAGCACACGACTGTCTGAACAAGCTGAGGATCATGACCATGGGCAACGAGAGCGCCACGAGCGATGTTGGTGAAGTACTGGCTAGACCAAGCAGTCTGCTCAGAAACCTTGACAAGAATACCGTTTCCAGAGAAGAGGGCGCTGATGACGGGACCGATGAAGTTGTGGAATGGATAGTTCCAGCTGACAAGAGCAGCAACAACACCAAGAGGTTCATAGTGGACAGTGTTGCGCTTGTACATCATGAGAAAGTTGGTAGGACGACGAGACGGGCGTAGTGCAGCTTCACCATGGTCGAGAGTCCACTTGAGCTTCTCAGCTGTGACAAGGATCTCTCCCAGCTGAGCATCCACCATAGTCTTTCCACTGTCCAAGCAAGCAATCTTGACAATGTCCTCAGCATTGTCGAGGACGTGCTGCAGCAGCGAGCGCAACACAGCCCGGCGTTCCTCGAAGGTTGTCTCAGCCCATACCTTCTGGGCAGCCGCGGCGGCGACAACAGCTCGATCGATAGCAGCAGGTGTAGAAGGGTTGATTTGTCCTAGGAACTGGCCAGTAGCTGGTGCATAGCATTGAACGGCTGAGCTGCCAGAGACCCTGACTGAAGGGGCGTCGACGGTGGAGTAAGGCTCGGGGATCTTGGGCGCGGGAACAGTAAACTTGCGAGGACGGCCGGTGGCTGCTCTGATAGAGGCTGTAGCGATAGCGTTTGTGAGGCGAAGGATTAGAGTTGCAACGACAATGGCAGCAACCGTCCCAACGGCAGAGACTGTAGATTGCCTGTGAAGAGTGAATTAGCTTATAGGTCAAGGTCAATGGGCTCCCTGCTAAAGTAAAGCGTGGGTAATACAACGTACGAGATGTTGTGCTCTGCAGCAAACTCATTGCACCTCCGCCAGGCGGTAAGGAGCAATGGTTCTTGTTCCTGATTCTCCATTGCAGATTCCGACAAGATCAATTTGTCTTTTCTGCAGAAATTGTACGTCCCCTTTGTATCATGCGACAACTGGAGATGGTTCAAGTTGGATGGTGGGCGTGTTATTTAAAGTGGGAGCTGGAGTCTGAAGTCCCCTTCTTCGGTACGTACCGTAGCTTCAGGGACCTTCCAAGTTCCATTCACTCACTGTTCCTGCCAAGCCTTGACCGCCGAGGGAAACGATCCACCGTATTCGTACTCGCCCGGCCCTGAATGTGACTGTGAGGCTCATCAACTCGAACCATAAAGCAACATAAGACCACCCATACTGAGTTACAAAGAATGAATGCCATATAAAGTCGTCACCACCACCACCAGCATCAAGGGACTCGGGTTCGAACTTGAGATTGAATTTGCATATCGTCTTATTGATTTTCGTCTCTGGTCTCCAAAAGGAGATGGCAACCTGATTATATAACCGCTTCTTATTTACAGCATCAAGACCGCTGTATTCTCCCACTCTTTCTGTCTTTCTTTCTTTCTCTCTTTCTTTCTTCCCTTCCGTCTTTCAAGCTCGCTTCCTCAAATGTAACATCCTCTCCAGCCCCAATCAGCCCGTCTCCTCGTCTCGCTATTCTCCCTCTCCTCGACAGCGCAATAATGAAATGTATCTTCGTCAGAGAATGGGTTTGCTGCTTTCCAGCTCTAAAGATGCTAAAAAGAAAAGTGTGAAACAACATGGGAGATGAAGCAAGACTAAAAAGTGATAGTACCGAAGCCACCAAAGAATCAAATCAATTCATACAAGAAAACAAAAAACCCCTTTTGCATTTCCCCTTATAACGCCCTGCGTGTGTAAAAGCAAACCTCCTAGTTCAATGCATTTGAAGCGTAGGGGGTATTATGAAATAAATAAAAACCAATTCGACCTCGTTGCCTTCGTTGCGTGCTAAAGCGCATGAGCATACAAAGACCGCGGAAAGCAACTCATAGATCGCTCATGCAGATCGTAAGTGCATCACTGGCCGTCTGAGGCCTGGGATATCAAAAGCAAGGAAAGGTCGAGAGAAACAAAACTCGGCACCGGGTCCGCAGAGCCGTGTCGTCAGCAAAAGTCGAGTTGAGCATCATGTACAGCGCGATGCAAAGGGCCGGAATTATATGTTGGCACTCTTAGTCAACGAAAGTCCTCTAAGCCGAGGGCGGAATCGACCTCCTTGCGATTGACTTGACTCGATCCTCGATAGTCGCGCTGCCGATGTGAAGTCGTTGCTGGCTTCAAAGCTGGGTCTCACCCTGTCCATCGAGGCTCGCATACGGTCGTATGATGGTCGCGCTCGGTCAATCGATGGCCGGGCTTGCATTGGTACATCCAACGATATTCGATGTGCCGTGTAATTGGTCGAGTCGCTGCCATTTTGGCTGTGCTGATTATATGTCGTGGTTCGTGTCGCTGTTGAAGGAGGGTAAATAGGCCGTAGATCCTCATCAACACTGCCATAAGCCACGTGCTTGGGCATCTTCTTTGACCTCCTTGAGCTCTTGGATGACTTGGACTTGTCACTCTTGGTGTCTGCGGTGAGAGGATCACTGGCCTCTTCGACCTGGTAGAGGTGTGCGAATTTACCCATTCGTTCCTGCTCACGAATGATATCGACATCGTAAGGCCAGTACACTTTCTGCAGAGCCTTGGTGGCAAATCGTGGGAAGAGACAGATGACAGGTACAAGGAAGAAACATGCCCAGAAGGTTGCTTCTCCATATACCTGTGCAGCAGTACCATAGAAGAACGCCGACGAGGTGAAGGAAGTGTACACTCCAGTCCAGAAGAAAATGAACACATCAGAGATGACAACAATGAGCACCATCAGCCAATCCCAACGATAGGTGTTGATCAGAATGTACATGTTGATCGTGATGACGGCGGGGTGAGCAACATAGGCGCCAAACCGAAGACGGTCCTCTACACCAAGGCCGTTGCCAGTCAAGAAGGTGCCAGGCATAAACAGAAGATACGGAATAAAGAAAACCATGATGGACTGATAAACACCATCAATCATGTAGAGCCTTTAGCAGAGTTAGCACAGGGCATCGATGTCAAGGGCAGTTTACTTACCAGAACTTGAGCTGGGTCCACTCCAGTCGCTCGATACCTCGTCGGTAGAGCTGAGGAACAGCCAACGATACCTTGTCAGACACGTCCTGATCCAGAACACCCATAATAGCAACAGGGACCGAAGTAAAGAAGAGGTTAAACATGAGAATGTACGTGTAGTCGAAGAGATATGTCATATCCATATCACAATAGATCTCGTACCAGAAAATGGAGAAGGTCCAGACCATGTTCTTGTAAAAGAAATTGCTGATACTCTCTGCCAGACGGCGGTATGACCATCGACCATGGACGAGCACCAGTCTCTGAAGGAATCGGAATTGAGCAATAGCATAGTCAGAAGACATGGCCGCTTGACGGCCTTCGACACCAGCAATACCGACACCAACATCGGCTTCCTGGATCATGGCAACATCGTTGGCACCGTCACCAATGGAAAGAGTCATGACATCGAGACCGTTCTTGACCATAGCCACAACGGCAGCCTTCTGCGCAGGACTGACTCGACAACAGAGAACCGACTTGCACTGCTTGCAGAGCAGGAGAAACTTTTGCTTCAGGCGGTCGTTGAGTACCCATCGGAGTGTGAAACCATCAATGACAAGTCCGTGGGTTGGTGCGGGCGGTTCGTGGTTCTTCTTGGCAAGCGCGAGATCATGATC